AAAAAAAAAAAAAAATAAAGAAAAAGAACAAAAAAAAAAAAAACACGATAACGAGTTTACCAGTCATTTTGGTCTTTAGAAAGATAATACATTCCTTTATGGTCGATGTGAATACATTTTCGTTTATGGTTTGAGGAGAAAAGCTAATTTCTCTTTCGATTTTCTATGAAATATTTAATCATCTATAAAAATTGATAGGAAAAATCATCAGGAAAAATTTTGAAGGAAAAGAACAGGACAGGAACTGTATTCATCTTAAGGCAGTTCGAGTAAATATGTAAATAAATTTATAAATACATATACGTACGTACATGTATACATATACGTGTTATGTAATATATACGAATCGGTAAGTAAGTCAAATGTATGCATACATAAACACACGTATATATATATACACCTATACATATGTATGCATAAATCATTTTGCACCACAATTTTCTATGGCTCTTCATGCAAAATATATATATTCAAGTAATGCTTAACCTGCACTGTGACTTCACCTTCTTACATATGTTCATCAACCAGCTATCAATTGTATATACATGTATATAGAAAAGCTTGGTCCCAAGGGATTCATCCGGCTGGGGCGTCTCATGTCAACTCCAAGTGATTAGAAATTCTGTTTAACTATCAGTTAATTAACAAATTGATGGACGTAAATGCTAAAGCAATCATTCGATCTAAGATTGCACGTCCGTCTGTCCTGCTTGTTTGCCTCTATTAAAGCCGTGATTTTGAAGATAGCTTGGCAAAATTTGGTACACGTGTTTTGGATTCGGATCGGGCTGGTTTTTCCAGCAATTCGAATAATTATTTTGGAAAATTTTCATTTGAATAATTGTAAATTTAAACTATTGGGTATTTTATTTACTGGTGTGTTTTGATGCAATTTTACATGCCGTTAATGTATTAACCCAACAGTCGTATTCTCGTCGAACATGGAGTGTGTGTAAAATGAAATAATGACAAAATATTTTCTAAAATACATTATCATGACAAATTTTATAAGAAAATCGGGCAAGAAAGAATAGACAGAGCATGACATGATCTCGTCATACACAGTTAACTGGTTGATAGTAATTCGTTGAAAACTTGTATTTGCATCGTAATGTATTCATCGGGCGTTCATTGTATCATCACTCAATTATCCTTTGCCTATCGATTAACTAATTTTAAAATAAATCGATTGTCAATTTTTGGGCGTCGTCTTAAGCATATAGAAGAAGCTTCATCTTTCAATCTCACTTTTTACAATGCGAATTTTTATAACGGGGTCACCAATGAACGGATAATGAAACATTTTAATCAATTATATATAAGCTTGTTGCAAACGATATATCCAAACCATTATAACTCAAATCTTTTGCTGAACGGAGTTGAAAAAAGTATTTAAATTTCTTTAACGTTTAATGATAGTTTAAGCCAATGAATATATTCAAAATTCGGAGAATCCTTTTCGAAGCAACCTGGTAAATATTTTGTCTATAAAGTGTTTAATAAAAGAAAAAAGTAAAAAAAAAAAAAAGAAAAACCAAACAGCTGCTGATATAAAACAGAATTAAATGAAAGAACATCACCTGGTCAACGGAAATGTTTTGTTAGTGAAACTGCACTTTCACTAGAGAGACGTAGAGAGAATGGTGTATAGAATCGTATGGATATGTATTTGAGTCTCAATCAATATTCGATTTATATATTGCTTAAAAATGATTGTTAGTTTATGAAATCTGAGCTTGTGCTGTGACATACAAAATAAACAAATTGGAACTCTTTGCTCTCGTTTTCTTTGTTTATAGCTTGGCTTGACTTCTTGTAGTAATTTCTGACTTTACACGGAAAGTTATGCAACCTGTACCCGATTCTCAATCTTAATCATTCATGTTGATTATATTCGTTGCTGCTATTGTTGTTGTTGTTGTTTTCATCGTAACAACATCCCTTCAGGTTTGGTATAGTTTTTTAAGTTTTGATTTCTTCAAACCTGAAAAATTATTTCGCGTACGTTTGTTAATATGAAACATGCATTCGAAATTTTACCCCCTCCTTACAGTGGAAATGAAAAAGGGTGCATTTTAACAGTCAAGCCAATCCAAACCGCATATTGCAAATCACCCTTTTATTCAGATTTTAGACAAATTTCATCGATAACTAACATTCATGTTTACAAACTAAGAGAAAAAGAAAATATGTATTTTTTTTTTTTGTTCTTGCAACACAAACACAATGTAACATTTATGTAGTTTGTTCATTTATTAATGCAAGGGTTGCATTTTCATATGAAAATTCAAGGGTAGGTTTTTAATCATAGCGCAGTCTAATAACAATTGAAAGCATAAATTGCAACCCATGATTTGTTTAATATAAAAGTGTAACTAAATTTTACTAAAATCTACGATTGCTTTCGTTTTTCTTGATTCTTACTCCGAAAACAGTATACAAAGCTCAAGAAATAAAATTTGGAAAGATTGAGCTTCGGGCCGTCTTGTACTATCATGCTATTTATGACCTGTAGAATATAAAATGTTATAAATGATTTTACCTTAATAATTAAGTGAATATTCCTAGGTTTGAAATGTGCTTACGATCGTCTGGTAAAATTTACTTAAATAGCAAGTATTGTTTGAACTAATATCGACATCGAGATCGATTGTAAACTAAAATTGAACAACTAACTATAGTACTATAGTGGGCCAAGGCACACCATTAAATGTCTTACATCACTTTGCAGTTATTTATATAATGACTTTTCAAAATGCAGCGCTGTAGGGGAAGCGGTCTTATGAAAACCGTTTTTAATAGCTTTCTTCCTTGGGACAAAACACATCAGTAGCAGATTTCAAAATTGCGGCTTGAACACAAGAAAACAGGACGGACAGACAATCTTAGAATCGATTTCTGAATTGATCAATGAGTTTATTTCAAGCCCTTCTTTATACCATCCCATAAAATTAATTGTACTCTTGCAGCACAAGTGTTGCAGGGTGTAAAAAGTCGATTAGAATCCTCTAAATATGAAAGTATATTAAACGGAACATCCATTGCCCTATTTATCATCAATCGGGCGCAGCTTGCTTCTACTCTAAAAATCTTTGCATAGAAATAAAATTTTTCGCATAGCATTTCACTTGACGGAAGGGCAGATATCTCATGAAAATGAGCAGTTAAAGCTCATTAACAGTAGACATTAATGCACACAGTATTAACGTAACGATTTTCATAAACGCTTTTTTCCGGCATAATGGTGGAGGGAAATTTCATTTTTTTCTTTTATTTATCCCATGCTCGCATGGAACAAAAAATTGATAAATATTTTCTTTATACGCCTCTTTTACAAATTTCTAATTATTGGTAATTTTCTTACCAATTGAACCTGATTTATTTGTTAATAAATTAACAGTGGCTGTTATTGAAAAAAAGATGTAAAGAATATTAAACGAGGGAAATATTTGATTGCCAGCGAGATATTTGATATCATTCAGAAAGTTCTGCGAAAGATCCAATCGAATGTTTATAGCAATCGACGCATCCCAATCATTGCAACCTACACGACTTATGATGCAAAAGTAGATTAAGTTTATTCATACTTATGTAATCTTCTGCCCGTTTGTCTATATATGTTTTTAAATGACGTGCGTCATATCGACATTTCGATGAAAACGGCTACCTTGACAAGGAGAGTTACTACAAAAAAAAAAACAAAATGGATTCGAAGGGCAGGCATTCAGCAGCAGCTATCTTCTATATAAAGATAAAGATATTTTTCTAATTAACGCATATCCCTGGTTGAAGCAGTAGCAAAAGTGGTAAATTTGTACTGCATACATCTATTATGTGGACTGGTGCCCATACAAGGATTGTCATGAAAAATATGCTTTTATCTAGCAAGAAGGTACCATATGTGGCATATTATGACGAAGAATTTTATTGGACAAAGTGATGTAGAGCATTAAATGGTTGGTGTAGCCTGGCCAGAGCGTTCCCCCTCTCACGTTCCTCTGTCGCATTTGGTAGAAGTCTGTACATGAGAAAACGTTCAAAAATGGTTTCACTAATCGTCAAAACAGCGCCTTAGTGATTCCAGAAATGGCTCGATTGGATCCATTTTCAATAGAGTTCGTCCTTTGGACAAACCAGTTTAATGCATCAAATTTCTTGAAAAAATCTTGGATGCAGCAAACGAAAAAAACGGTCACAACGGATAGCAGTGCCTAAATAACTTTACAAAATGATTTTGAATGCGCTGATGAAACTAAAGGTGGGTCTACCTCAAGTCCTCCTTCTCCTTGGAACAACTCACAAGCGTTTAATTATCCGATATAATGCTGTTAACTGGCGTTTAGTCGCGTCGTAATGCTTTTCTCAGAAATTTCCGACTTCGTTTGACATGTGTTCGGTCAAACCAGGCTTCCGCTCGTCCGCCCAAAAAGTTACGAATCCTTAAAATGCCTCTGGGTAAGGGAATCAGCAAAACCCAGTGCAATCGCACAGTGACACAGTCAAAAGCGTTTTTGTAATGGGACTGCACTCATTCACGGCAGCAGAATCCGTCGAAGAATCATTAGTAGTACTGAGCTCGATGGGGTTTAGTGAG